CCTTAGTGGCCCCCCAAAAAGTAAGAGTAGGCTTGGGCCGCCATTGGGGAAAAATTCCAAATTTTGACCAACTGAAAATGTTTAGTGTGTCCCGTGCGCTCATATGACCTTATGCAGTTGCGAGCGCCGTAAAACACTTAACCCCCCCCCCCCCCCCCAAAAAAAAAAATTCTAACTGGGGACCCATTGAATTAGAGGCGAACACTGTAACCTCTCGACCTCGAGAGCCGCTTTTTTGTTGTTTGAGGGGGTGGAGGTGAGTCGGTGAAGGTGTTGCTATGACTTCGTTCATTATACTCATTAATTTTGTTTTTGATTTTGTTTTATGGCTCCAGACTCAATATGGCTTTGCCCTTCTTCACGAGGAGTTTGTTTCCCTTTTTAAAAGATAAGCCACACCAAAACAGGAAGCAATACATACAGTTTCTTTTATGCTGCTGAGTCATGTGTCTGTTGGGGTGGAGCAGGGAAGGGAGGCAATAAATAGGCCACCTGTATGCAGGTAGGGCACGAAAGCGGGGTAGAAATAGAGACTTTATTTATATCCTCCTTGGGTAAAAGTAAACTTGAGCCCCCCCCCCCCCCCCTTTTTACAACTAGTTAACTTATTTCAGCGGGACCTTGCGGCGTTTCCACTCGCAGTGGGACCACTTCAGTTTTTATTTTTTTTATTTTTTTTTACAGGGGGAGGGGGGGTAGATCAAAGTGTTTTACGGCACTCACAACTGCATAAGTTTATATGAGCGCGTGGGACACATTAAACATTTTCAGTTGGTAGGGATATTTGAATTTTGCCTGGGCGGCAGCCAAAGCCTACTCTTATCGATATTAGAACCACAAAGGGGTTTTTAACGTGCGCAACTTGATCACGGGAAGTCCGAGATTTTTGCCCTTATCGGAGAAGGCTAGGTGTTAGATCTTACCTACCACTGCCATAAAAATCAGGGGTGTGGCTGAAAGACAGCAGTAAGAAGGAGCCAAGGAGAATCAGTAGAAACGCTACTGAAGTGAAAGAGACAGGAGCCCAGAGGAGGGGGCAAAGGAGGTGAGGGGATGGGGGCAGAAAGTGGAGACAAAAGCAGACGACAGAACACTGTTAGTCTAGAGTAGGAAAGGGAGCGAAAACTTGACCACAAGGGCCCGGGTGGGGGGGGGGGGGG